CCACCCCCCGCCGCAGACGGGAGTCGCCGGCCGAATCCGGGCGGACTCGACCGAAGCCACGGCCCCCGAGGCCCTACACCTGTACGCGCGGCCCGGCGCACCGCCGCGCCGCCGCGCCGCCGCCGCCGCTCGTGGGTAGCGGGTGGGAGCAGAAACCAGCGCACGCTGATCACGAAGAGGCTCCGGCTGGTGGCTGGTGCTGGTGGCTGGTCAGCCGACTTCCACTCGCTCCTCACCCTCAACCTCCGCCCGTCCTGCCCGTCAATCGGTCTCGCGGCCGCCGCGGAATGTTGGAGCGCTCGCCTCCCGCCGCCCGCTCCCCGCTCGCCACTCCTCCGCGAGATAATTGCGAAATTTAGTGGATCCTCGCCTTCTCGCGAGATTTAGTCTCCCGTCCCAAGGAACAACGCCGTATGAACCTTCAGGCCTTGCCAAATTTCTTTTCATACAGTACGAATTCCCTGGTTAAAATATGAACATTTTTCTTCCAATTTTCAAGTTAATTTTGTTCACAATGTCACCCAAAGTCCCTGAAAGTTTCAAGGAAAATATTCATAATTTTCCGCAACAATAAACATGTTATCGAGGGAAATTTGGCAACTCTCGCATGTTCATACGGCGTTTTTCCTTAGCACGGCAGTAGTTCTTCCACTATTTCGCCGGATCCCGGGTGGCGGACTGCCCGACTATAGCGGTAGCGACTCCGTCCGTGATTCTCCACGTCAGTCACATGCTCTGCTGTCCTCAGGAGGAACACCGTATCAACCCTCGGATGCTGCCGAACGTCCCTCGATAAAAATTTCACTTTGGTGGAAAAGTCTAAGCACAGTGTAAAAAGAAACTCGTCGGAACGTAGAAGATCTTAGTAAGATTAATGATCTTAGTTTCAGTTTTATCAGTTTATTTTTATTTGCAATTTTTTTTTTTTGCTATTGTAATATTTAGTAGATGAGTAAAATGGTATACTAGCAATTTTATTAGATTTGGATTAATCGTGTTGAACACATTTTTTTGCGAAAGCCCTGTCAACATCACCAGCAAAAGTTCACGAAACTTTCGAAAGTCCTGTCAACATCACCAGCAAAAGTTCATGAAACTTTGCGCGGAAGTTAAGTTCCGTAAACCTATATCTGCGTGGACAAGGCCTTCCATTTACAGGTATTGAACGAAAGAATTTTGAAAGAACAAACATAAATGTGGTTTAATAATCTTAACTTCCGCCGCGCTGTATTTGGTGCAATGCGGGAAATATTCATGCAGTCTTGTAGGCGCCATGCGTTTCACGCCGACCGCTGCGGTCAGCAGAGTGTTAGATGCAATGCGTGAAGTATTCATGCAGTCTTGTAGGCGCTAATATGTGCTACACGCTGACCGCCGCGCCGAGGGCTTCCCCTTTTCATCTCAAGTCCTCGTCATCATTGCTCTCTACGCCGCGCCGTTCCAGGCCAAATTGCGTGTTTGGTTTCTCTCTTAACTCGACTAATTAAAGGTGCTGCTATTTGTATCACCGAAAGACGTCAAAATTAGAAATTACTTTACTCTCAGGAAATGAGAGTTTTCTCGTTTGTAATTTTGTTTTTCTGAATCCGATTTATTTTTATACCTACATTTAAAAAAATTCAAAATTTGCTGCCCCCTAAATCCGGCCCTGGTACCCGTTCAATTTGTATTCGACATCCTCTGTCTTTTCCATGGAATCTGAAAAAAAAATCGGTGCAATTTTCAGTTAGAGGTGCCCAAGATTCTCCTCGATAATATGCAATTTGCGGGGGGCAAACGGCAACACGAAAACGGAGTTTCGTTCTTTCGTGAGGGAAATTTGACGTAATATGCTCGACAAGTTGGACGTATTTCTATAAAACGGAACTAAGCGCCAACGGGGGAGGGAGGGAGAAGGAGGCTTGGATTGGCGGGTGTTGCGGAACGCAATGCTCGTTCGTCCTATCCTCGCAACGCTTTTCCATAACGCTTCGTTCCGTTTGACAGAACGCGCTATCCGGGATTCTAAAATCCTCAAAAGGAACTTAATTTGGCGCTTAGTTCCGTTTAACAGAAACGCGTCCAGTTGATCACCATTCGACGAAAAGGAGCCGAATCTAAGTTTTACACGACCCGAATACATGTCCAGCGGGCCGATTATTGAAATTGATAGACAAAGCAATAGACAAAGAAGACAAAAAGGATATGGAGGGATGCTATTGGTGGAAGAGGGTGGTTGCAATGGACAAAGGAGGTAGGTGATAGACTAACTAACGGCAACCGACAAGAGACCAGACAGTTAGTCTACCATTTTTCCTGTTAGTCTGTAAAGACCACCAGTTTCAACCAATAGGATCGCTCCATACTCTCTATGTCTTCTTTGTCTATAGCTTTGTCTATCAATTTCAATAATCGGCCCGCAGGGTGGGGTTTCTAAAATATATGGTCCGTGACTCTAGTTAAGAGAGCTGCCAGGCGAGGAAGCGCGAAATGATGCGAGCGGCAACTCGGAGACGCGTATCTACGTGATGCAGGTGTGTCCTGAGGACGATGGACGTCACCAGTTGCTACCGATCCTCGGGGCCGCCCAAGAACCGCGTATCCGAATAGGGACTCCATTGGAGATGCGAGGTTCTTCATTCCCGGGGAGCTGCGTCTGCGTCCACTCTGGTTGGCGCTATCTCTTCGCGGGCCGCGGTCGCGCCGGGCACGGGCACTTTCCAACGCAACGGCCGGCGACGCAGCGTCGCGCCGCGCCGCGTCGCCTCCGCCTGCACAAGGCGGAAGGGCCGGCACACTATGGTCCCAATTCACTTTTCAGTGATCAAAAATCTTAGCGGCTCTCCGTTTGAGTATAAATACATTTAAGATATGTTTTCCTCATGATTTTGATGCGCTGAATCCGAATTTGACCTCCGATTTTCCCTAAAAAATCATTTGCAAAAGTTACCGTCATTTTTTCACATGAATCACAAACTGCCATACGATTGGCTTGTTATACTTGCTTAGATTGGATGAAAACCATGCGTTCATTGCACATACATGTACAGTTCATGCAGAATTAAGGATGTTTTAATTTTTTGACACCCCCCCTCCCAATTGTTTTTTTTTTTTTAATTTTTTTTTTTTTTTTAAGGATAACTAAACTGAAAAAAATGAAATAGATCTGAAATTCATTTGTATTTTAAAAATGTCGAAATAATGCTTCAGAGAAGACTTTTGTTTATGTTGATTTGCCGGGAAACGCAAATCGGGTACATAAGAATGTTGAAGAGCGGGGGGTGCAATATTGTCACATTAAGGAAAATTCAATCAACAATGGATAAATATTCGGGGACTAAGGAATTTTACATCAATAGGTACTTTCTAGGATGGAAAAGAGCATTTTTAAAGATAAAACTGCGGAACGGAAAACTTTTCAAAAAATCTCAAAAAGTAGGGGGGACCAATTTTTTTTCGAAACGGTCAACCTCAAAAAGATTCATAGAAGCTACATAATGGCGTCTCTGTAGATGCAAAATTGCTTAGCACGTGTTAAGGCTGCAATAATTACAGGTGTTTTTCAGGGCAAAAAATTGAGTTTTTCTGGAGCAAACACTTAGTCACGTAAAAAATTCAAATTTGGTCGAAAAAGCAGGTGGAAGCAATTATTTTTGGTTCGGTTGCCTTCCTAAGGATCTGTAGGAACGACTTAAAAGTGTCTCTGGAGGTGCCAAATGTCTCAGAATATTTTTCGAGGGGCTTTCCAGGGTTGTAATACAGTATTTTGAAGGAAACACGCAGGTACGAAAAATATTCAAAATTCGTGCAAAAAGCAAGAGGAACCAACAATTTTTGGTTTAAAATCCTTCTTAAGGATTCATAGAGACTACTTGAGCACGTTTTTGGAGGTGTCGCGTGCCTCAAAAAAGTATAAGACGACTGCAGATTGATCGATGGCTAAACTTGCTAAGTACCGTTATTTTAGCCACCGACTTAGAGACCTAATAAATTCGATTTCTCGAGAAAAAGCAAACCAAAGCACGAAATATTTCTACTGTAGCTTCCCAAGGATGTGTAGAAGCTCCCTAAAGGTGTCTCATTAGGTGACCTTTGGTGACTTTTTTTTTAAAATGAAAGTACGTGGGAAAAATCGGCATTTTTTCATGAAAAATAGGTACCCAACTTCTACCTTGTGTAGAATGTATCAGAATGCCTCGGAGAAAAATTGTAATTAGTGCGTTACAATCCTCTTAGAGTCCTCTACAAAATGGTACAAGCAAAAATTCTGAGAGACCATTTCATGATTCAGGAGAGGCTCCGAACGCTTTATTAGAAATAGCCACTTCACGGGTCAGAAAATACATATCCGACTATTCGCACAGTTTGTGACACTTTCAAAGTGACTAGAAATTTTTTTGAGGTATACTACGTGTAGATTATGACCCGTAGATACTATATTTATCAATTTTGACTCGAAAAAAAAATGTCGTCCAATTTCATAAATATCGATTTTTGAGCGCTCCCGAGCGGATTGGGACCATAGTGCGGCATCCGAATAGGCAAATTATTTATAGTCCTCGAGCCCCGATCGGATTCCGCCAGCCCGGTTTTACGGCTCGAAATCAGCTGCAATATTTCGTTGATCGCCCTCCGCGGAAACAGGTTCCGTTGCTGTTTTGTCACCGTCCGCCGCGCTCCCATCGCCGCCAGACTGCGACACAATCGGGGAGAATATTTTTTAGAGACCCAGCACCGACTAGAGTACTTGGATTGCATTTTGCGTAAAGGAACCAAGAGTCGTATTCCAATGCCGCTAAGATTGTGCAACTTTTTTTTCCATGCAAACGTAAATTGTTGACCTAAACAAGTTATCTTCCATGAGGAATTATGAATTCAAGACGAAAATTACCTGTGTATACCTACCTTTACCTTTTATTACCGTGTATTACCTTT